CCCCGCGGAGCCTGGAGCCCAGCGGGGGCCGTCGGCTCAGCACCCAGAAGGATGTGCCCGACAGGCAGAGAGCCTCCCTGGGCAGCCGTGTGCCCAAATCTGCCTCCGTCTCAGCCCTGTCCCTCATCATCACCTCAGGTCTGTGTGCTGGCTGATTCACCCTGCTGGATGGCCACTGCCAGGTGGTTTTGCCGGACTGAGGTGGCTCCTTCTGCTTGCAGATGACTTTGGTGGCAGCGCCCTGATGAGCCCCATCTCCCCTCACTCCCTCTCGTCCAACCCCTCTTCCCGGGACTCCTCCCCGAGCCGAGACTCCTCCCTGGCCATCGCCAGCCTGCGGCCACCCATCATCATCCACAGCTCGGGGAAGAAGTACGGCTTCACCCTGCGCGCCATCCGCGTCTACATGGGCGACAGCGACGTCTACACTGTCCACCACATGGTCTGGGTACGTGCCCTGGGGTCTGGCGGTGCTTTAAACCCCAAGAGGGAGCTGAGATCCAAATAAAACCACTCTGTTTGTGTTGCAGAGCGTGGAAGAGGGGAGCCCTGCGCAGGAGGCCGGGCTGAGGGCAGGAGATCTCATCACACACGTGAACGGAGAGTCCGTGCTGGGTTTGGTCCATCGGGACGTGGTGGAGCTGCTGCTGAAGGTGGGTGACCAGAGCCACTCTGCTCTCCCAGGAAATCAATTCATCATTGGCAGCTGAGGCAGGAGCTGGCTCAGATCTGGTGCTGCAAAGATTTTTTTTCCATCCCCCAGAGTGGGAATAAAGTGGCCCTGCGGACCACTGCCCTGGAAAACACCTCCATTAAAATCGGTCCTGCAAGGAAAAACAGCTCCAAGACAAGGATGGCACGGAGGAGTAAAAAGAGCAGGAAAAGGGATGGCCAAGACAGGTAGGTGAAACTGTGATAAAATGGCATTTGTCCCACTGTGTGGGGTACTGGTGGAATGCTGTGGATCTGCCATATCAGGGTGTCCAGTGGGGTCTGGTCCTGCCTGCACTGGGTTGGATGCTGTGGATTTGCCCTATTGGGGTGTCCAGTGGGGTCTGGTCCTGCTGCCACAAGGTCAGCAGACTTGCAACTAACAGCTTTGAGAAGCCAAATTATTCCTATCCCCACAGCAGGAGAAAATCCCTTTTCAAGAAGATCTCCAAGCAGTCGTCGGTGCTGCACACCAGCCGCAGCTTCTCCTCCGGTCTCCACCACTCCCTGTCCTCCAGCGAGAGCCTCCCGGAGTCCCCCACGCACAGCCT